TTCCTAGGTTGGACCAGAAGTTTGAACAACTGACGATTTACCAACAATGGAACTACAGAAGCCGTCCGTAATTCTGACTGTATCTTTCACAGAGCATGGGTAGTATGTTGAGAAAGCTTACGAGCATCCGGTCATGTGGTTCATGGCACTTGAATCAATAATCTATAGACTGTAGGTAAAATATGCGAGTGTCATGGGAACAATACCTTGACGGACATGTGAGGTCGATGGACCAGCAGAAATCTGATTGGATCCAAGAAGCTTGACCAATTGCTCTACCTGACTTTTCAGAGGGTCGGAAGATTCAGGAATGTTTCGGGTAGGAGCTAGCAGAATCGTGGTAGGCTCGAATGTCATATTGAGACCCTTTACAGTAGCAGTTTTGGCCGAATGTTTGACTCACTTTTCCGTGGAGCTTCCAACACTTGTCACAGGTGTGATTGGATTTATGACAACAGACACAAGTAGGGTGGCCTATTCGTGGTGGTAGGGAAAAAGGTGGGGCACAATTAGAGACCAAGGCGGATGATTCAGTTGAAGAAGTGGAAGTGTCGAGCATTAGAAATCTCTGGCTTTCTTTACGGCGAATCTCGATTAAAACAACACTAGTAGAAGGCAGAGGATCCCAACCAAGAACACGGCTCCAGACTTCATCAAGGTCTCTGTTGAGGCATACCATAAATTGAAACATGCGATCCTTTTCTACAATCTTCTCGAAGAGAGAGTGGTCGGCTAGAGAATCCCATGTGTAGTCGTAATACAAGTAGCATTCCATCTGTAGTGCCACCAGATCTTATTATAGTACTGGGCCACGATCTTTCATCCATGTTTTGCTTCTCAAATCTTCTTAAACACTTCATCAAGTTGGTCGGAGTTCCCTACATCCAAGTAGGTATCACGGACTGCAGTCCAGAGGGCACTAGCGGAAGGGAATAATATATATGAATAACCAATGGACGTTTCCATGGAGTTGATCGGCCATGACATGACCATGGAGTTCTTCACTTCTCAAGCTTCATAAATCGGGTCAATCTTTAGAGGTTCACGGATCATATATGTGAGGACCCACTAAGTGGGGTCGGTTACCTGAATCAATTTTCTCCATTGTGCTCTATTGAGTGTCATATTTTTATTGAATTCTAATAAATTTAGGTCATTTTATATACATCATTCTCAAGTCTTCGTAAGTCCACCTCTACCTCTCATAAAACATCTACTCTCCTAAGAGAATAATTAGATGGTCAACATTTAATGTGACCAAATCATCTAAGACGACTCTCAAATATAGTTTGCCACTGGAGTTACACCAACTCTTTCACGGATATATTTGCTTCGTATTTGGACCCTAAGTGCAAAACCACATACCCACCTAAACATTCTCATCTCAGCAAAACTTAACTTAGTTTCATGCTTCTCATTTATAGGCCAACATTCTACGCTATAAAGCATTGCAGGTCCAACCATCTTATAAAATTTTCCTTTGAAGTCTAAGCGATATTTTTCTAACACATAATAGGTCTGATGCATTCCTCCACTTCAACCATCCAACTTAAATTCTACTAATAACATCCCCTTCGATATCACCAACACTAAGAATGGTAGACCCGAGATATCTATAACATTCTCTGATTTTAATGATTTGATCACTCATTGCTATAACTTTGCCACTAGATCTAGTACTACTAAAAATTATATTCCACATATTCAGTTTTAAATCTACTCAAATAAAGATTTTTAGACTCTAAAGCTGACCTTTATAATCCAAGATTTTCCTTAACATATTCTCTAGTCTTTATCCACAAGAAGGATATCATCACCGAAAAACATACACCAAGGTACATCCTTCTGTAAATGTCCAGCAAATGAATCGTTAACTAAAGATAACAAATATGAAGTTAAAGTCAATCCCTAATGTAATCCAATTGAAATAGGAAAATAGTTTGTCAATTCTCCTTCAGTTCGAACAACTAACAGCTCCAGAATACATATCCTTAATAACTTGAATTTAAGTCATATCAACGAATTTCTTTCCTATAACCCTCCAAGAAATTCTCTTGGAATCTTATCATAAGTTTTTTCTAAATCAACAAAAATAATATGTATATCCTTTTACTCTCTCTGTACTTCTCAATCAAATTTCTCAACAAATATATAATTTCCATAATAGACTTGCCCGACACAAATCCAAACTGGTTTTGAGAAATATTTGTATCACTTCTTAACCAATGTTTAATTATTCTGCCATAATTTTAATCCTTGACACATTAACTTAATTCCTCTATAATTTGCAAACTCTTGTGCATCCCCTTTACCCTTAAAAATAGGGACCAAAATGCTCTTCCTCAACTCCTCAAACATCTTTTTAGTTTTTAAAATAATATTTAAAAATTTAGTGAGTCAATAAATTCCCGAGTTTCCTAAATTTTCATAATTCTATTGGGTTATCATCAAGTAGATTAATTTTCCACCCTTTATTTTCTTTAAAACCTCCTCAACTTTTTTTTTACTAATGCAAAGGTATATAAATATATATATATTATTAATGATATTAATATCACTAAAATCGATTATCTTTTTAAAATATTCATTGAAACGTGTATCAAAATATCTAATCCACCTATGTTGAATATCCATTTAGGAAAAACACTTTTGTATTTTCATCTTTAAAACATTTTACTTGCATTAAATCTTTAATTATTTTTTTGTATTGCTAGTTTATGCATTAATCTTTCACAATCTTTAATATCAATTTTATTATAAAGATTATTAAAAACAGAATTTTTTACTTCATAAAATATTTTCTTAGTCTCTCTCCAGACCACCTTACATTTTTTCCAATTATCTAACCTTTTATTTAAACCAATTTTTATAACAATACTTCTTACATTTATCTTCTCTTACACATTATTATTCACCACCAACTATTTTTATTTATAATTTTTTTTTCTTTTGATTCTTCAAGTACGTCTTTTGTCACTTGTTTAATGGTACTTGTTACTTTATCCCACATAACATTAGTTAGTGGAGTCAAACAAATCAGTCTACTTTTACTCATTTATATTACATCTCTCCGCACACCTCTTTTCATAAATTTTCTCCCTATTTTTCATAAATTTTCTCCCTCTCATAAAGCCATTTAAACCAATATTAAAACCAACCTGATTTCCATTCCAAAAACTTTATTTGAGCTACTTGAACATAAAAATGCAAAGGGTACGTAAGAAGAGATAAATGCTTTAAAAAAAAATCATACATAAAAGATTGTTGAATTACCAAAAGGTAAATAAATAGTAAAATGCAAATAATTTTTTGCCATCAAATATAAAACAAAAGGAAGCCTAAGAAGATACAAATAAGATTCATAACAAAAGGATATACTCAATCACTTGGGAGACTATCAAAAAATTTTTATTCATGTTATTAAAATAACCACTATCGTATTATAATGTCCCTAAAGCTAAATTATGGGTAGCACATCAATAATATGTTGTAAAAATATTTTTTTTTATATATGGGACGTCGAAGAGAGGTATGTATATGCAGCCACCACAAGGATTCAATTACTTCTTCAAAAAGAATAAGATATAAAGATTGAGAAATATATTATAGGAATTGAAACAAAGACCCAAAGCTTAGTTTGCCAAACTTACAGAAATTATGGAATAAGTTGGATACAAGCAATGCTAAGAAGACCATATTATCTTCATAAAACACTCTCTTGATCATAAAATGTCAATCTTTATTGTATATATTAACGCTATACTTGTTATATGTAATAATAATTAGGAGAAAACAGCTCTAAGAAAAAAGCTCGTTGAAGCATTAACCAAAGAGCAAAGAAAATCAAATACTTTTCGGAATAAAAATGGCTCAATTTGAACAATGAATATTTATCTCTAAATAAAAAACATGTAATAGACCTGCTAAAAAAACTAATATGACAAAATACAAGCCATGTGGAACTCTGACTGAACCAAAAATAAAAAATAGATTTTGATGAAAAAGGAACTGACGTAGAAACAAGGACTATTAAAAATTAGTAAGAAGACTAATCTATTTATCTAACATTGGTCTTGACAATGCATTTGTAGTAAATCTTGTAAATCAATTCTTGTACAAACCCAAAGATTCACACCTTCAAGTTGCCTAGAAATTTCCCAAATACATTAAGTCAAGCTCAAGAAAAAGAATTCTATGCAAAAGCATGATATCTTACAAATTGAAGAATATACAAATGCGAGCTATGCGGGGTCACTAGCGGATAGAAGATCTACTTCAAAATATTGTACAATCTTAAGAAAAAAATCTCATAACTTAAAGAAGGAAAAAAACAATTTGTTAGCTTAAGATCAAATGTTGAAGTCGGGGTTCAAAGCCATTGCCCAAGGAATCCATGAGCTTTTATGGATTAAAATCATATCAAAAAATTAAAAAATAAAAAAGAGAATGAAAATATATTGTGATAATTATTGCACACAATCCAGTACAACATGTTTGTACCAAACAAGTTGAGGTTGATAGACACTTCATAAAAGAAAGATTATAGTAGCATGATTTACACTTCATATGTATCTACGGGAAATCAACTAGCAACCTAATACTAAAAAATATTATAGGCAAACTTAGAATGCTAAATCTTTACCATCCATTTTAAGGAGTGTTGAATTTCTCTTTCTTCCATGGTGGGGCCTACTTACTCTTAAATTATAGCAAAGAATTTAAGATATGGATTGAGGCTTAGTACCATTGGATTTATTTCACTATGGCTCGCAGATTGCAATTTGTGTGCTTCTCTATAAATTTGCCGTCCCCTTCTTATTTTTTCCTCTATTTTTTATTTATTCATATTTTGAAATGCTTGTTGAAGATGAATAATACCACTTCTGTACAAAGAATTTTTTTTTACTGTTCTCCATTATTATATTTTCAGCAATATGCATAAGAAAACTTCAACTAAATGCAATGTTCAATACTTATAGCGAGTTAGGCAGCTATTATACCTTAATCAAACCAGCTAAACAGTGTAGATCAACTCCATGTGGCACAATACCTTTGTTTAGTTCCTCTCTGGCAAGCATTTCTAGCCCATTTTCTGCATTAATTCTAAATATTCCTTCTACCTAGAAAATACGAATTGAAGTTTAGTACTTGCATATTCCAACATTCAAACGAATATAAGTGCCACAGTAAATACATGGAAATAGGTGGGAGATTACTTTAAGGCCGCCTTGTGAATACAGGTACCGTTGCATGGACAGTAAAATAGTTGGCACACTGTTTCCTCTACTATCATATGAACATTTCATAGATTCAGCAGAGACTCCAAAAACTGTGGCACTGCAATGAATAGTGATAACCAATAGGAACCAAAATCTAAAAGAATATAGCTGAAGTCCAAGACTAATACATAAGAAATCACAGAATTGCAAGTATTGAAGCAATTTTTTACGCATATTAGCTAGCATAAGATTATGCACTTGAAAAGAAAGCTTGTATTAAAACAAACAGGAGATATATACAGTTGCGTGAAAGATGACCCATATTTCATTTTCATTCTATAATGTCGATCTCAAAAAACCTCAACTGCTACTCTTGACATTTTTTTTTTTACTTTGATTGAACATTGACAGATATATCAAAATTTCAGCAAATGAGAAGAGTTACTTTCTGTATAATAGAGTAAGAGGTCACAATGATCCCGAACTACTTATGAGGGGTTGTTTTAATCCCAAACCATCCATCACATTTAGCAACTTAACTCGTCAAATTTTGACCCAACCTGATCCAAAATAATACAACAAAGAAACTATTATGGATCATATTTGAGGAGCTAAGGGACTACACATTTAATAGTTTTAACCTTTTAATTCATTATAATATGTGACATGTCTTCTCAAACAATGTCAAACTATGTAAAAAACATAATATTGAAAAACTGGACAAATGAGCAAATAACAAACAGTCCTATTACTATCTCAAAGCATCACAGAAGATTGAAGAAGTGCAGGCATAAAAAATAGGAAAAATTTTTAATAGAATAAACAGCCTTATGGCTTCATTACATAAATCCCAACTAAAAACGTCCCCGCATGCATTGGCATGCAAGTATATGCTTCCATGCATTACGATCCAAGGGGCTGTTAAGAGGCTTACCACCGGAGACATTATTCTGAAAGGGTGGCTAGATCAAGCTTTGATTAAATCAGCTAAACTAGGAAGAAGTTCAGTAGATTAAGCTATTTTAAGCCGGCTAAATCAAGCGAAGGTTCAGTAGACCACCTGAGGTCAGTCCAATGCATAAATCAATTGCATCAACAGGGTTGATAACAAAGAATAGGCCAACCACATCATGGAAACATCAAACAGGTCAACCAACGTGGGTTTTCAAGTCAAAAGAGAGCTTAATTTAGTTTTAGTAATGTTTGTTTGATATAAATTTACTTATGTTTAACAAATTTTGTCGCACCAGTCTAATTTCTTCCTATCATTCCAATTATTTTCTAACACTGTCATTGCCGGGTCCCAAGCCCCTGGGTCCCAAGCCCCAGATGTGAAAAGTTGAGAGTTGTGTTAGGTAGTCGAAAGCCAGGGTGAAATTTGTCGAAAAATCATGATATGAATCATTTAATCATTCTGTAAATGCTAGGGCATCCCAGCAGCCCCTAGAAACGACGCATTGTTTGACCTGAATACAGTGAAAAATATGCAACGCTCGCTACATCGGCGCCTGGATGTAGTGTCAAATAAACAAAGATTCTCATATTATGAACAGATGCAGGTAAAGAAGTTTGTCCATGAAACCAATATTATGATAGGACCTTCGAATATAGGTGCTCTCACAGATAGACTAATAAAATTAATTGATATTATGGTCCATAGGAAGATAAATATTTTATGTATTCAAGAAATTAAATGGGCTGGGAAAAACACCAAGGAGATTGATAGCTTAGGTTTTAAACTTTGGTATCCAGGTAAGAATCACATTAGAAATAGTATAAATGTAATTACAGATAAGAGTTTGAAAGATAATATTGTAAAAATTAATAGGATTGAAGATAAAATTATGGTTCTTAAGATTGTTGTTGATACTAAGATCTTTAATATTATAAGTGTTTATGCTCCTCAAGTAGGTTAGATATAGTTCTAAAGAAAAATTATGGAACGACCTAGTAGAATTAATACAAATGATACATATTGAAGAAAGAATTTTTATTAGAGGAGACTTAAATGAACATGTTGGCAGAGTAGTAAAAGATCTTAGAAATGGTCATGGGGCTATGGTTTTGGAGTCATTAACGTAGAAGATATAATCATATTAGATTTTGCTTTAGCATATGATTTTGTTATTGTTATTACTTTATTTAAAAAAAAGTTTAGCATATTATCATATATAAAAATGGATCTAATAAAACAAATTAATTATTTTCTTATGAGAAGAAGAGATCATCAATAATGTGAGATCATCAATAAGAAGAAGAGATCATCAATAATGTAAAGATTGTAAGGTCATTTTAAGTGAAAATTTAAATACTCAACATTGATTATTAATTTTGAATTTTAAGACGAAGAGCTCTAAGATAAAGAATACTACAAATCATTGTCATAGAATCAGATATGAGCACCTAAAACATACAAATAAAATTATTTTTATGAGTAAACTTCAAGATTTTAAAATTTGAGATGTTCATGAAGAAGCAAATTCTATGTGAGATAAAGTAAAAAATATTATTAAAAAAGAAGTAAAAGATATACATGAAGAATCAAAAAGAAAAAAAATTATAAATAAAAATAGTTGGTGAAATAATAATGTGCAAGGAAAGATAAAATATAAAAAGTTTTATAAAAATTAGTTTAGATATAAAAATTTAGATAATTAAGAAAAATATAAGGTGGTCGTAGGAAGTTTTAGATAACAATTTGTGACGCTAAAGATTCTGTTTTTAGTGATTTTTATAATAGATAATATACTAAAGAAAGTGAGAAAGATACGTATAAATTAGTCAAACAAAAAGAAAATAAAAGTAAAGATTTTAACCCAAATAAATGTATTAAAGATGAAAATTAAAAGTGTTTTTTTCTTAGAAACAAGTCAAACAAACAGAAAAGAAAAGTAAAAATTTAACCAAAGTCAAGTGTATTAAAGAAGAAAATCAAAAAATATTTTTTCTTAGAAGAAAATATTCAACATAGTTGTGTGAGCTATTTTGATAACTTTTCAATGAAGTTTCTAAAAAATACAATCGATCTTGGTGATATTAATATCATTAATCATAATAAAATACTTTATTTTTATCATTGCATTAGTAAAAAAGAAGTTGAGTAGGCTTCAAAGAGAACCAATTATGGAAAATTAATATAATATGATCATATCCTCGTTGAAATGTGGAACTATTTAGGAGTTTTGAGAATTTCTTGGCTAACTAAACTCTTTAATAGTATTTTAAAAACTAAAAAGATGCATGGGAGGTGGAAGAGTATTTTGGTCCTCATTTTTTAGAATAAAGGAGATGCACAAGAGTATGCAAATAATAGAGGAATTAACTTAATCGGTCATACTTTAAAAATATGGGAGAGGGTAATTGAACATGGGTTAAGATGTGATACAAAGATTTCTCATAATCAATTTAGATGTATGCCAAGCAGGTCTCCTATGAAAGCTATACATTTATTGAGAAGTTTGATTGAGAAGTACAGAGAGAATAATAAGGATCTACATATGATTTATTTTTTTTAGAAAAAATTGGATTTAGAAAAAGCTTACAATAAGGTTCCAAGAAAAATTCTTTGAAGAGTTCTAAAAAAAGGTGTTGATATGACTTATATTTAAGTCATTAAAGATATGTATACTAGAGTTGTTACTTGTGTTTAAACAAAAGGAGGATTGACCAAGTATTTTCCTATTTCAGTTGGGTTACATAAGGGATCGACATTAAGCCCGTATTTTTTTTGCTTTAGTTATGGATGCTCTTACTGGACATTTGCAGGAGGTTGTACTTTAGTGTATGCTTTTCGCCGATAATATCATTCTTGTGGATAAGACTGGAGAAATCAGTCAGGAAAAACTTTAATTATAAAGATCTACATTGGAATCTAAAGGCCTTTGGTTGAGTGAGCTAAAACTGAATACATGGAATGTAATTTTAGTAATGTAATTTGTAATTTTAGTAATAGTAGCTCTAGTGACAGAGTTGTAACTATGAGTGATCAAATCATTAAAAGGTGTGAACGTTTTAGATATTTTGAGTCTATTGTTCAAAATGATGGTGATAAAGATGGAGATGTTATTAGTAGAGTTCCAGTTAGTTGGCTACAGGTTGGTTGGTTAAAGTGGAGGAATGCTTCGGGCATATTGTGTGATAGAAAAATAACGCTTAAATTGAAAGGAAAATTTAATAAGATGGTGGTGAGACCTGCAATGCTCTATGGCGCAGAATGTTGGCCTTTAAAAGAGCAGCATAAAACAAAGTTAAGTGTTGCTGAGATGAGAATGCTTAGGTGGATGAGTGGCTTGACGCTTAGAGACAAAATACGAAATAAATATATCCCTAATAGGGTTGGTGTAGTTGTAATGAAGGACAAGATTAAAGAGAGTCGTCTTAGATGGTTTGGTCACATTAAACGTCGACTATTTGATGATCCGATTAGAAGAGTAGATGTTTTAGCTTCGAATGATGTGAAGAAAGACAGAGGTAGACCTAAAAAGACTAAGACATATTGTATAAAAAATGATCTTAATATATTAAAATTAAATGAAAATATGACACTCAACAGGATGCAGTGGAGAAAAAAAATTCATGTAGCTGACCCCACCTATTGGGATAAAGGCTTGTTGTTGTTGTTGTTGTTGTATTCCATTAATTTTATATTATTGTATTAATATTTTAATTAAAAGCAGCAATCAATTCATTCTCTCAATGATATGCAAGCTTATTATCAGTTCATACAAAAATATACAAATGAATTTCATGATTTCATATTTAAAAGTCACTACTCTATGGAGTTCCATAAATAGAAACTAATTATCATTCATTGGCAAGCAAAAACTTTCGCTTCCAAACACAGCCTCAAAACAAACTACAGAGTCAAAAGTGGGTTGGCCACTCTAATAAAGCTGATAGCTTAGATGTCTGCCTATAGGCCAAACACTTCAAATAAAATGACTAGCAAAGATATTTTGCATTCTACTTCTTAATTAATAAGATATTATCTTGAATGATAGATATCTTCCAACATATTGCTATGATACTGTTTTAGGGCTACTCAAAGATATTTAAGGAGAGGTCTTAGCATGGATATGATTGTAAAATAGGATGAGAAGGGGAAATGGGAGGTCGATG